GACTTTTCGAAGATTTTTAGAAATTTTTGAATATTTTTGTGATGTTTTTGAAATTTTTTTGGAAGTTTTTGTGGTTTTTTGAAAATTTCCAGAATTTTTGAAAATTTTTTGAACTTTTCGAAATTTTTCTGAATTTGTTGGAAATTTTTTGGATTTTTCGAAAATTTTTGGGATTTTTTGAAAGTTTTAAAAACTTTTTCGAAAATTTTTTGAAAATTTTTAAAAAATATTCGTCATTTATAGAGGAAAAAAACACAATTTTCGAAGATTTGGAGGAATGACTCCCGTACCTACCCTGCTCGCCACATCTCCAAGCGCTACACTGGTAATCCCAAAAGCAAGGGGGGCGTAACATCAGTAAATTTCAAAAGCAGGGGGGGCGTTACCCCCCCCCCCCCCCCCCCCCCCGTAGTTACGCCCCTGCCTCTGACGATATATTACGATATAACGATAGACAGATGCCATTTTAAACAGTCTAAATAGCACAGTGGCGCTTGTTCATTCGATCTATAATGGAAAGTAATCGAAGAAGTGAAGCGAGTTGACTAGACTGAAATGTCGTCAACATATTTAATGAATCCCTGTTTTATATATAGCATCATATTCGATGTAGTACACTGTATAATTTTGTTTGTTTCATATCACAAGGTTTAATGAGAATCTCTCTGGTACGTAAAGATTTTTTCTCAACGAAAATTGTCTATTAATGTTCTTTGAAATTTATTAGACTGTAAAATAAATTAGAGCTAATTAAGTTTAACTATTAATTTAGGTAATTTAAATTTAAATTACGCAAATTTAAAATTGAAATAAACTTTAATTATGATGTGAAAAAAAGGAATTTTTTCGAATTTTATATTATTTTTAGTTTATTGAATATAAAATAATTTTAAAATAGTCGTATTGATGGTATAGTTCAATCAACTAAGCGGTTGGTAACTGACATATTGTGTGCGTGATCGAATCTAACGTTCTTTCTTACACTTCTATCATATGGACTAGTCCAAACTCGATGTGTACATAAGACTACAATTCGTCGTTTGCAGCGTCGTCGACGCTCTTTTTTTTTTTATTTATAATCATTTTTAGACGGGCATTAGGATGTTGTCACATGACTAGACATAACAAGCAGAATGATGGCCACCGGTTAAGCAGTCAGGACGTGAGCCGTGGACTACGAATGATTTCAAACAAGTTATATATGAGGACTATTTGAGAAAAAGACTAGACAAGACGACGACTAATCTTACGCTACCATTCAACGTATTTATTCTTACCGTTTCGTACCCTGCGCACCTCTAGTATCGTCATACTTCGCCTCATGTTAATGTTAGAAAAATACTACCACCCAGTGTGTCAAATGTATTAGCTTACGTTGGTAAATAACTCATATGCTCAAGAGACAAACCCTTATTCTACCAAGGTTACTTTATGTCTATTTACTCGGAGATATTCATTGATACTATTTCTTTTTTCATTTAATTATCTCTAGGTGTAGCATTCTGATGTACGTACTGAGAATATTTTCGAAATAGGACAAGTTTGTAATTGATCGTAAGTTTTTTTTTTAGACAAGTTCTACTAGAAATAAGGATGCGTTTCCCAAAACTAATTAGGGAACATATTCAACTATCGGATGCCGTTCGAAGGAGGATATGAGTATCGATAAAGAGAAGATACACTCATACCCTCGTTTCTTTGACTGAATATGTGCCAACTTTATGGTATCAAATGAAAATTCTATGTTTAAAATTTAAGTCCTCATCTTGTCGAAGTAAAGAAGAAGAATTCAATTTTCTTAGTCTCACTGTATCTCACTCACAGCTAAAAGATGGAGTCGAACAGCGTTCAATATTTGGATTTCACTTAAAGATCTACAGAGTAAACTTTTTTCTTATATTGTTTTCTGACTGAGAAAAATTTGCTTACCTTTATCATACTCTACAGGATAGGCTAGAGTAACTCTGCATATCTCTAATTTCAACTTGCGAGTAATGATAAACAGAGCTATTAGAACAATTTTCTCTATAGTACATACACTTCTGTGGACAACTTATGCATATCTTACACGTCAAGCAATTGAATCATAAAGCTATATACTAACTGTAGTATATCAGGAGCCTACAAAACTGAATTATTTTCATTTTTTTTTTACTTGAAAACAAAAAGATGCTATTTCTCTTCTAGATTCAGCAATGCCAAAAAATCTCCTACATCAATCGACATCATCAGATGCTCTTCGTTTAAAAGCATTACAATCTGGTTTTGAAAGTCGTGTTGAAGTTAATCAACGAATGTTAATTGATAAAATGCTTGCACGTTATTCATCAGATTTTGTTGTTTGTCGTGAATTAATTCAAAATTCTGATGATGCTAAAGCAACATCATTTCATTTTGAAATAACTTGTGATAATAATGGATTATCATCGGAAAAAAATTTTCATAATAAAACTATAACAGAAATTCGTACAATAAACAATGGTCTTATTTTTAATGAAATTGATTGGAAACGTGTAGCAGCTATAGCTGAAGGAAATACAAATGTTGAATCAGTTGGTCAATTTGGTGTTGGATTTTTTTCTGTTTTTTCATTTTCAGAAGAACCAATTATAACATCAGGAAATCAATATATGGCATTTGTTTGGCGTAATGATAATTCTTTAACAACTTATCGTCATGAATTACCATTAGATCAACAATCAAAATTAACATCAATTATTCTTAAAATGCGTACAAAATATATTTTACATACAGAAACAAATTTTGATTTTGATTCAATAATAGATATTAATGAAAGTCCTAATATTAAATCACCAATTAAAAAACGACAAAAGAAAAGTATAACAACAACAACAAATGAAATTATTCCAACAATTAATCTTACACAACTTAAAGCTTATTTTACTAAAGGTAGAAATATTTGTTTGGCAGAATCTCCCATGCTGAATAAAATATTGATGATTGTTAATGTTTTGTTTTTTTTCTTAGTTTTATCATTTACAAAATATATTAATGAACTTATTATAAAAATTGATCAAAAAGTAATTTTTAAAGTAACAAAAACAAGAAAATCTATATCATCAACAAAATCTAATCTTGAATTAAAAAAGAATTCTATTCATAATATGTTACATCTTAATTCATTAATTCAAACGGAACAAATCTTTTCTATTGAACATGGTCCATCAATAACATTAAATCATATATCTGTTGATGCAAAATTAATTATTGATGAAAATTATCATAGTCATATTCGATGTATATTAAAAAAAAATTTACCACCAAATGTACAAATTCAACTTTTATATACACCTAATAATGTAAAATAAAATTTCGATATATATATATATTATTTTATTTTGAAATATTTTTCTTTCTTAGATTGTTATGAAACAACAATCATCAAAAAATGATGATCTTCATATGAAAATACTTCATTCATTAATACCATTAAAATTTCAAAATAATAAAATTTATCCATCAGGTTTAATTTTTATTGGTCTTGGAACACATCAAACAACTGGAATAGGAATGCACGTTTATAGTCATTTAATATCAACAATTGAACGTGAAAATCTTGATTTACAAGATCCATATATATCGAAATGGAATAGAGAACTTCTTTTATCTATTGGACAAATAGCAAGAGTTGTTTTTGATCAATTAATACTTGATAATAGACAATTCGATTCTATAATTGCTTCTTATTCATTTCAACAATCTGTACCAAATAATGAAATCGGTAAAAACAACGAAAAGAAGTCTCTTTCAATAGAGAGACAGATTTAGATATTGTCTGAAGTAGGATCATATGATGACACATGCATTGCAGAGGAAGAGACAGCTTACAACACTCTTGTTATATAACTAAAACTTTACCTTAGACAACCTACAAATTTCTAGAAGACAATGCTGAAGTTTTTCTTTTTCTTTTTTTTTCAGGTTCGATTCTTGTCGATGGATTTTTTTCTTCTAATAAAGATTTACTTGTTCCTGTTAAACGATCTCCAACAGATATTAATCTTTCACTTATTCCATCAATACAAGCATATATAACAACAAATTCTAAATATATTCATTCCTTTCTTTCATTACCACTTGTGCCATATGAATTAAGTCAAAATAGTTTATTTCAAATATTAAAAGATCGTAATTTAATTATTGAAGTTGATAATAAATTAATTGAATCAATAATAACAACAACAATACTTTTATCAAATCAATTTATTGAATTTCTTCATTGGTTATTTAATCAAAATAATATTGATAAACAATATATAAAACATTTATTATCCATAGTACGTTTTCGTGAAACAAATAATTCATCAATAATAAGATTAGAACAATTAAAAAATTATGATAATTTTAATATATCAACAATAATACCATTACCATCACATATTTTACCTGCAAGTGTAGCTACTTATTTATCACGAGAAGAATTACAAAAACAATTATCATTAACACCATTTACATTAAAAGATTTTCTTCATTATTATTTATGTCAAAATCAATTATATTTATTTACAAAAGAAAATACATCAACATGTTTATTACATATTATTTCAAAATATTCTGGACAATTAAATAAAACAGAATGGAATAAATTAAAAACAACATTATCAACAATAACATGTATACCAACAAATCAAGGAATGAAAATCCCTAATGAATCATATATTCCATCATCAATTTTATCATCAGATTTACCAATAATAACATTAAATGTACCACAAAATTTAACTGATGATGATGATAATGATAATCAATCAATACTAGAAAATATGGAAAATTCAATATCAGCTGAATTTCTTAAACGATTAGGTTGTCGAACATTAAATGTTCAATCATTTGTACATGCACAATCATCATCATCATCATTAACAAATTCAACTTCATCGATGAAAGCTTTAATTCAACATTTAATGGAAGAAAGAGATAACATGAGTGAAGGAGATTTTAATGCATTAAAACAAAGTGAATGTCTTAGAGGTAAATTTAATAATTATAAAATCTAATCATCAAAATCTTTTATTTTATTTCTCAAGGTACAACTCTCATATCAAATAAAGAAAGTACAAGAAACTATGCTCCACAAGATCTTCATTTTCCATCTGTTGCTATTCAACTTCAATGGTCAACATTACCAATTATTGATTGGTATGATATTGATCCACATTCACATGAATATACATTTCTAAAAGAGATTGGTGTACGTGAAGTACCTGATTTACAAAAATTAATTAATCGAATTATTGAAGAACATAATGAACAAACGAAAAAATCAAACGATGAATATAAATTACCTATAGCACTTAAATTTTTAGCTGAAAATTTTCAACAATATTATTCAAAATTATGGAAAACAGCTAAAATTAAACGACCTTTTCTTCCATCTATTTCACTATCAAAAACTATTATATTATCATTACCCGAACAAATTTTTAAAGGTTTTAATTATTTTAAATTCTTGTTTTTTTTTTTATTTATCTATTTATTATATTTTTCTAATTAGATAAAAGCCCATTATGTACAACATTATTACCCAATGTTATTCAATTATTTGAAGAACATTTTAATATATCATTACTTGGTATTAAAGATCGTCCAACATTAACAATAGCTTTTGACATTTTAATGAAAAACAAACAAAAAATACTTAATATAGAAACAGCTCCAAAAATTTTTGCTTATATGAATGAACTTGATGGTCTAAGTCGATCATTAATTGAACGTATATCCAAATTTGCTTTTATTCCTCTTAAAGGAAATAACAATTTTATGAAACCATCACAAGTTTTTATTCGTCCTGATAATTTAACAACAATATCTGAAGATGACGATGATGATGATGATGATGATGAAATAACACAAATCATTGGTAGTGGTAGCCGTAAACGAAATAATACTAAGACAACAACAACATCAAAGAATAAAAAAATAAAAACAATACCATTAACTATAGATGATATAGATAAAAGTGGTTTAATTGATTATATTGATTATGGTCCTAAAGGAAATTCTTTTCTTCTTGGTATTGGTGTACTTCATTATCCATCTGCAAATGTTTTAGTTGAATTATTAATTGATCGACAAGTAAATTATTTTTCAAATTTAAATCAAAATAATCCAAATGATTTACAAGAAAAATTACATGCCTATACAAGTTGTCTTCGACAACTTGCTATTGCAACAAATGAATTACAATCAGTATCATTAATAAAAAGATTAAAAAATGAAGCTTGGTGTTTAGGTTATCAAGTTATTGATGGATGTTCAAATAATGAAAAACAACGTATATTTAAAATTGTATCACCTAATAAAATTTATCTTGATGATGATCATCAATGTGCTATTGATCTTCGACCATTATTACCACCTGATGAACCAGAATTAACAAAATTATATGAGAAATTTGGTGCTTCATGGTTATCAGAATGTGTAAAAAGAACTTTAGTACATAAAGGTAAAAAATAAAAAAAAATTTATTTTACTTTCAAATAAATAATAAAATTAAATTCTATTATTTCTAGGAAACATTATTATATCAGATCGATGTAATAAATTACGTGATTTAATTCAATATCGTCTTGATATGTTATTTGTTAATAATCGAGTAAATATTATATGAATATAAATTCAAAAATTCTAGAATTTCTTTTTTTTTTGTCGTAGGGTGAAAAAATGGAAAATCTTGATGAAAAACGTATTGAAATATTGAGAACAAATTTATCTGTTTACGAAGTTGATAATATTCAATGTCAATTAACATTTCAAAAAAAGACAATTACACTTGATGTAAGCTATTTATTTCTAATCATTTAATCTTTTGTGAAACATAATCGACAAAGAGTATTGAAGTATATTGGGCAGAAATTTAAACCTTCCTCGATAGATAGAATCCATCGGCATTGTTGATATGCGATCACATATCGTA